TATGTTTTACAGTAGCCTCCAGCCCTCTAATCATCTTTGTTGCTCTTATTTGCAATCTTTCAAGAGCTTCAATATCTTTTTTTATAATATGGTGACCAAAATTGGATGCAGTTTTCTGCAGTCTTACCTCTCCCTCTCCCTTTCCCATGCCCTCTCCCTCTCTCGTGTGTCTATTCCACCCACCATTAGGAGCATTGGCTGTGGCATAATTAGACATTCCCAATTCCTGCAACTGTTCTCTATATGTTTTAGCCTCCAACCCCCTCATCATCTCTGCACTCTTTCCAGAGTCTCAACATCTTTTTCATATTGTGGTGACCAAAACTGGATGTACTATGACAAGGGTGGTCTTACCAAGGCGTTATAAAGGGTACTAACAGCAAAGGTGAACACTTTGCAGTTGAAAAGGTTGAGATGGTGGTCATGACTGCATGATTAACGCCCTGACTTTAGTACATGTATGAAATATTGACAATACATACAAAAGGAGGAAAGTTTTGATAGTATGGTGAAATCCAACATCTTCATTTTTTTTTATCTGCTCTTGTGGGTGATAGATTTTTAGAACCACTTCCAAACATTCAACATTCTCAGTATGATGTCTTCCATACATGCTGGAATTAGAACCCTCAGCAACCAGCCTGGCTAATGGTTATATTGGCTGAGGATTTGGGGAAATGTAGTCCTAACACAAAATGGAAGGTTGTTAATGTTGGGGAAAGTCTAAGCTAAATATTGAAACAAACAAAAATTCCTGAAGATTCAGTCAGTCATTTTATTACAGTCTTAGACCAATACACGTTTGATGGTCTCATAGTCATTTCCTAAAGTTTTATTCTATACAATCTAGATTTTAAAAATGCTACTATTCAGAAAATGGTTGTGAAGCATCTGATTTAGAAATTCTCACACCTAAATGATGTGTAAGGTTGCAATATCTGAAATCAACTTACTGCAAATCACTAATTAAGCTCCACTTTTCAAAAACTTTTTAAGTTACTCTTCCAACCTTAGTTGCTTCTGCACAATAGACTACCATTTGAGTATTTAGCACAAATGGATCCTTAGAATGTTTATTATTCAATTACAAGTAAAGTAATTTATCTCAAATATACTCAGAAAGACAGATACCAAGAAAGAAGCTACAAATCTTGACAATCAGGATGCAAGTAGATTCTCTAGGATCAAAGCATGGATAAAATCAGGAAGTTTCAGATTGCCTCAAGAATAAAATCTACTGCATTGGAATATTAAAAAAAAACCAAGCAACAATTATTGATTTAACACTTCTTCTTGGTTAAAGAAAAAATAGTCAGATCATTTTCTTCTGGCAACTGGCATGTCAATGTTTCATCTGTTTGTTTTCCATGGAAATAAATGTCTTTTCCCATAGTCTCTTCAATGCACCTTTGACTTCCTTATTACGGAGGCTATAAATCATGGGGTACATCATAGGTGTCACATTGGTGTAGATCAAAGATACCAATTTGTCTTCATTCAGGGAGTAGCTGGCCTTAGGACGGATGTAGATAAAGATGGCACAGCCGTAGTGGAGGATGGCCACAATCAAGTGAGCGGCACAGGTGGAGAAGGCCTTTTTCCGGCCTTCAGCACACTTGATCATGAGGATGGAATGGGCAATAAAGACATAGGAAATCAGAATGAGCAAGAATGGAACAAGTAAAATCATTGTGCAGACAAGGAACACAGCCACTTCTTTGCCATGTGTGTCGTTGCATGCCAGGAACAGCAATGGTGGGATGTCACAGAAGAAGTGGTTAATGTTATGTGAACTGCAAAAGGGAAGACTGAAAATCAAAGTGGTGAGTCCCAGTGAGATTGTGAATCCACTGATGCAGGCTATCGCCAAAAGATTTTTGCAGAGATTCTTGTTCATGATGAGAGTGTAGCGCAATGGGTTGCATATGGCCGTGTATCTATCATAGGCCATCAAAGCCAATAGAAAGCATTCAGAGCCCCCAAAGGCAATGAAGAAGTACATTTGTGCTGCACAGGCAGTCAAGGATACACTTCTGCTCTTGTCCAAAAAGTTGGCAAGCATTTGAGGCACAATGACCAGAGTGTAACAGACCTCAATGAAAGACAGGTTGCGCAGGAAGAAATACATGGGGATGTGGAGGGCAGGATCAACTAAAGTTAGGACCACAATGGCCAGGTGTCCTGAGAGGGTGAGGAGGTGCATTAGAAGGAACAAAGCGAAAAGTACAAATTGTAAAGTTCTACTGGTATTGAATCCAAGGATTATAAAATTATTCTCCGTGCTGTTATTCTGTCTGTGCATCTCCATCCTACATCTTGTAGCTGGAAGCTGATATTGTTAGGATGCAAATTCTCCTTCACATTGCACTCAGTTTCTACTAATGGTCATGTTTTCTTAGCAGCAATATAAATGTGAATTCTTTCCCAGTTCCCTACCTACTCTGCTCTGCAGTGTTTTTCTCCTAGCCCAAAGGCTTAGTTTTGGGTGATCAGCCATGTTTGACTTAATATTGCCACCTAGTGGGTTATAAGAAGAATATATGATTGTTATTAGCAAAAACAAAAATGATGTAAATATGTCTGCTACCAGGAACGTTTATATTTGTTCCTCAGCATCAGAGGGATTTAAAACCTGTTTGTCACTTACCTTTTCAATTGTCTTTACATACTATCTATAGGGCTTTTTAAGCATGTAAAGTTGTTTTGCTTGTGTTTGTTTGTTTTTTTAAAAAAAAAACAGGTCTACATGTATAACAGAATAACAGTTGGAAGGGACCTTGGAGGTCTTCTAGTCCAATCCCCTGCTCAGGCAGGAAACCCTACCTATAACATTTCAGAAAAATGGTTGTCCATTCTCTTCTTAAAAACTTCCAGTGTTGGAGCATCCACAACTTCTGGAGGCAAGTTGTTCCTCTGAGTAGTTGTTCTAACTGTCAGGAAAGTTTTCTTTAGTTGCTTGTCTCCTAGAAAAATAACCAACATATCTTCCAGTGTAGAATTACAGGCAGCACCAAAAAAACAAAACAAATAAAAAACAAAAAAACCTCACAGACAGGTCCATCAGAAATCTCATTCATTGACAGGTCCTCAGAAATCTCGATCTGCATTCCTTTTATGGCAGAAGGAACTGAGGTGTACAGAGTGGCTAACAATCAGTTGTAGGATCCATTCCTTTCATTCCCCAAGATGGGCAATTATGTGGGCTTAGAAATAGATATCTGGACAAAATAGGGATGTCTAAGTTATCATTAGAGAACCAGTTTGGTGTAGGAGGTAAGGAATCCATTTAGAATTAGGGGACTGTGAGTTCTATTCCTATCTTGGGCATGAAGCCAGCTGGGTGATCCTGGGTGATCACTCTCGCTCAGCTGTAGGGAGTAGGCAATGGCAAACCACTTCTAAAATCTTGCCAAGAAATTGCAGGAACTTGTCCGGGGCAGACACCAGGAGTCAAGATAGACTTGAAGGGACCCAAGAAAGGTCATCATTGTATGAACTGCATGCAAACAAACGTACATAAGCATATTAATCAGCTGCCTAAATTGACAGTTACTATCTCATCTGAAGAAAGAGAAGGATATTCCTAGTCTCAAAAATTAAGTCTAAACATTCCGCAACAAAAACTACTTTTACCCAGACAGATTCTTTCTTTCATGGATCCAATGGCACCACAGCCGGTCTGGAAACTTCTTAGTTAAGGGGGGTCAGAGGGTTGGCCACCATGGAAGAAGGTAATAGATTTGCAATAGTGGTGAAAATCTGTAGCTCGGATGTAGGATGAGAGTGAAGGTTCGTTCTTCAAGCTCCAACCCACAAACTCAGAGAACAAACCTTCATCCTCAAGGTAGTAGATGTTTAGCTGCTTTTAGCACTTAGATTCATTTTAATTTACAGTACTTACATAAAATCTCCCCCTTCCCATCACGCTTTCAGTTTTTCTATTTCTGTGCATATCTCTCCCTGTAACAGTAGCATCCAAAAAACTTCCACTGTTAATACTATAGGATATATAGACCTTTCTGTGACTATAGCAAGGAAACAATAGATGATGGATTGATGGAAGGATGACTGGACAGACAAAGAGATACCACACCAATCAGTCTATAGCTTGAATATTTGTGCATCCTTCTTTTCAAAAGCATTGGGCTCATTGCCACATCGGCAAATATCTGTATTCCATGATCACTTGCAAAGGATGAAGGCAAGTCTAAGCAGTCTTTAAAAGTCTTACAAGAGGTTAAAAGTTTAGATGATTGGAAATTTGGGCACAGATTCCCATCCATGATCACTCTGAAATAAAAAACACTGAATCCAGTGGGAAGTATTTTGGGTAAACATACTTAGGGATTCTACCTTTCTTTAAAAAAAATTAATTTGATTTGTTTGTTTGCTAATTGCTTTGATCTGATAAGTACACACCATTGAACAGAGCATTCATAGTCCAGAAAAACATATCCAGACATTTCAGTATGCTGCTTTCAAGCAGGTTTGAACCTGATGCCCTATCTATGTAAAACAAAACATTTAATTGTGACTCACATCTTAAACTGGGTGAACATTGTAGGATTTCCATACAAGTTACGTGTAGCATGAAATCCTATCCTATGGTAGACATTGCTTCAGAAATATTCAACCTTTTTCCAGGATCACCATAGCACTTTCCTGTATGAGATGCTTTAATAGACATTTCAAGAAAAATTATATTCTCAATTGATATGGTTACCTTGCAATGAACAAAATGTTTGGAGTTTGTCAAAGTCATAAGCAGTTACTAAAAGATACACAAATGGGAAAGATTATATTGATTTCAGAATGTTGCCTGAAAGTTGAACCATTGGGATATAGAAATGTAATTGAGGTCGAGTCTTCAAATTTAGATCCAAGATTTGAGAGCAAATTTGGGGTTTATAAGAAAAGCCCAGTGCAAAAGCTGAGGAGTCATAGTGTCCTCTAAAAACTCTCTCCCAGCCAGCAGTATAATGTGGTAGTTATAGATCAAAGAATCTGGAGGGTACCATGTTACTCACTCTAGTGCAGAAAACAATAGGATTGGCAGTAGATTCTTTTTTAATACTGGTAGTCCTTGACTTACGAGTGGTTGCTTAGCAACCAAAGTTATGTCCCTGCCTCGCGAAAATTACTTACAACCTGATTTCAAAGTTACAACAGTCGCAATTACTCCTGGTCATGTGATCCCATGATCACCTTTACAGCTGTTTGCAGTGACCTGCAGTGCCTTGCAGTCATATGACTGCAATTTTTGACATTTTTTTATCCGTTTCTGGTGTTTACTTCTAGTTTGCAGCAAAAATATCAATCAATCAGAATAGAGCTGAGAGGGACCTTGGAAGTCTTCTAGTCCAACCCCCTGCTCAAGCAAGAGACCTATACCATTCCAGACAAGTGACTGTCCAGTCTCTTCTTAAAGACTTCCAATGGTGAAGCACCCAAAACTTCTGAAGGCAAGCCGTTCCACTGGTTAATTGTCCTCACTGTTTCTCCTTAATTCCTGGTTATAAATAGCCATTGGGTAAAATGGATTCATTCAACAAACATGGGACTTGTTTAACTAGCACAGCAAAAAATGTTGTAAAATTTGATCCAATCATGTGGTGACCCACTTAATGACCGCAATGACTTATGACCATAATTTTGGGCTCAATTATGGTCATAACTCGAGGATTACCTGCACTGAATTTGCAGAGAATAAATACATATGGCATATTAGTTCTTTTGAGTCTAATCATCCTACTGGAATTGTTCAGAATTCTTTTGTTCAGGTAACCTACTGTAAAAAGCCAGTATGAGAAATATAAAGCCATTTGTTTCTTGTCTACCAGCTTCCTCAGTTCCTTCTTGAAAAACTAGCTGTATAATTACTGTCTTTCCATTAAAATTAATTTCCTTTCCCCTGTTCCCCTAAGTGCTCCCTCGACTTACTTGTTTCAGAGACTGTAAATTATAAGGTACAACACAGGTATGAAATTGTTATAGATCAAAGAGATCACTTTGCTGTGTTCTAGGGAGTAGTTGGCCTTCAGACAGATATAGATGAAAATGGTACAACCACAGTGGAGGATGACCACAACCAGGTGAGCAACACAGATAGAGAAGGCATTTTCCGGCCTTCAAAACACTTGATCTTAAAGGTAGAATTGCCAATAAAAATGTAGGAAACCAGGATAAACAGGAATTAAATGAGCAACTTTGTCAGGCAGACAACAAAAACCAGCCACTTCGTTGGTATTTGTATGGCTACACACACCAAAAACAAGCACTGGTGGGATATCCCAGAAGAAGTGATTAATGTTATGTGAGCCAGAAAATGGAAGACTGAAAAGACCCAAAACTGCACGAACACATTTCTGTTCATGACGGGGGTAGTATAATAATAATAATAATAATAATAATAATAATAATAATAATAATAATAATAATAATAATAATAATAATAATAATAATAATAATAATAATAATAATAATAATAATAATAATAATAATAATAATAATAATAAAGTTGGAAGGAACCTTGGGGCAGGAACCCTACACCATTTCAGACAAATGGCTGTCCAGTCTCTTCTTAAAAACTTCCAGTGTTGGAGCATTCACAGCTTCTGGAGGCAGGTTGTTCCACTGGTTAATTGTTCTAACTGTCAGGAAGTTTCTCCTTAGTTCTAGGTTGCTTCTCTCTGAATTTTGATCATCTGATCGTGGGGATGCTACAAAGATTGTAACAGTGAAAAATGGTCATAAGCCACTTTTTTCAGTGCTGTTGTAAGTTTGAACGGTCACTAAATGAACTGTTTGTAAGTTAAAGATTACCTATAATTACTTTTCATTTTTCAAACATCCTTTTCCCCAGAATTCTCTCAAGGAGGTTCAGCTTTCAAAGAGATGCTTAGCACATTTCATGTAACTTTTTGTGCCAAAAGTCCAATGACCACTTCTACTGTGACAAAGATTCTTGCGAAGACACTTTTGAAGCTCTATTCTCCCAGACCAATTCTAGGTGGGTGTTAATTGCAGCAGTCAGAACGGAAATGCTGCTGCTAGGAAAAACAGTGGGGGAGGAGTGTCTTAAGAGCCTCCTCTTCAAATTGCATCCTCCACACAGAAAGAACAATTAGGCTTTTATGAACATAACTCCATATAACAGCTTGTTTGTAAACTGAAGGTCGGGAATTATGGACTATGTTGAAAAGTATAGGATAGATATCATTATGCCACAGCCAATCTCCTAATGGTGGGTGGAATAGACAGACAGATAAGAGAGGGAGAGGAAGAGGGAGAGGGAGAAGAAAACTGCATTCAATTTTGGTCACCATATTATAAAAAA